GGGGTCCTAAATCAGGAAATCTCGCCCCCTGAACCAGACCCCAATCATTTACATAGACACAGGGAAGGAGGTAGCTAGCATATGTGTTGCAGTTTACATCATAGTGGCCCATGGAAGCAACTGCATGGGCAAAAGTTCAGATCCCTTCAGGCAGGTCCAATTTTGGTCGTGGAATGCCTGAACCACTATTTCTGGGCTGACAGTATTTTTAATTTCTCTTGTAAGGTCTGGGCATTGCTGGCTGGGTCATCATTTATTGCCCTGGGCTAGGTGGTAGTGAGAGCTGTCTTCTTGAACTAATGCCGTCCTGAGGGAGCTGGTGCACCCATACTTCTGTTAGGGAGGGAGTTCCAGGATTTTGATCCAGCAATACTGAAGAAACAACAATAGATCTCTGTCAGGATGATGAATGGTTTGGAGGGGAACTTGCAGGGGGTGATATTCCCATGTATCTGCTGCCTTTGTCCTTCTAGATGGAAGTGGTCATAGGTTTGGAAGGCACTGCCTAACAAACCTTGGTGAATTTCTACGACGTAAATGTCACTCAGTCGTGCTATTGATTGTCGGTGGTGGAGGGAGTGGGATGTTTGTGGATGTGGTGCCAATCAAGCGGCTGCTTTGTCCTGGATGGTGTGGAGCTTCTTGAGTGTTGTTGGGACTACACCCATCCAGGCAAGTGGGGAGTATTCCATCACACTCCTGACTTGTGCCTTGTAGATGGTGGACAGGCTTTGGGGAGTCAGGAGGTGAGTTACTTGCTGCAGTATTCCCAGCCTCTAACCTGCTGTTTTAGTCATTGTAGTTAGTGTTGATGTTGATAATGGGGGACTTCAGTGATGGTCATGCCATTGAATGAGAAGGGAAGATGGTGAGGCTCTCTCTTGTGGGAGATGAAGAGCACTGGAAAACAGTAAAGGAGCAGGCCATTCAGCCCCTCAAGCCTGCTCCACCATTCAATACGATATTGGCTAATGTGACATTTCACATGTCAAATTTCCTGCCTTTTCCCCATAATCCTTGATTCCCCAATGATCAAGAATCCATCTTTCTCAGCCTTAAATATACACAAGGACTCTGCCCCCACAGATCTCTCTGGCAAGGAGCTTGCAAGACTCACAACCCTCTGAGAGAAGAAATTTCTCCTCATCTCAGTCTTAAATTGGGGCCCTTTTATTCTGAGACTGTGCCCTCTGGTCCTAAACTCCCCCATGAGGGGAAACACCCTCTCAACATTGACCCTGTCAAGCCCCTTAAGAATCCGTTGTGTTTCAATGAGATCACCTCTCATTCTTCTCAACTCCAGTGCATAGTGTCCCAAACTGTTTAACCTTTGCTCATAAAGCAATCCCTCCACACCAGGGATCATCCTCGTGAACTTTCTCTGAACTGCCTCCAATGAAATGATAGCTTTCCTTAAGTGGGCCAAAACTGCTCACAGTCCTCCAGATGTGGTCGTACCAGCACCTTGTACAGTTGCAGTGAGACTTCCTTCCTGTTATATTCCAACCCCCTTGAAATAAGGGTCAACATTCCATTAGCCTTCCTGGTTACCTGCTGCACTGTGTACTAGCTTTCTGTATTTCATGCTCAAGTACACACATATCCCTTTGTATTGCAGCTTTCTGCAGTTTTTCTCCATTTAAATAATATTCCATTCATTTGTTCTCCCTTCCAAAATGAAGTACTTTGCATTTCTCATGTTTTCCCACCATCTTAACCTATCAATATCTCTCTGTAAAGTGTTTATATCCCCTTTGTAACTTGTCTTTCCACCTGTTTTTGTATCATCTGCAAATTTGGCTGCAGTAATTTCAGTTTCTTCCTCCAAGTCATTGGCATATTTTAAACAGTCACAGTCCCAACACTGGTCCCTATGGAATTCCACTGATGACAGGTCACTAACCTGAAAAAGAACCCCTTATCTCCACTAGAGACAAAAAAACTGCAGATGCTGGAATGGGTCCTGAAGAAGGGTAATACCCGAAACGTTGACTGCTGCTTTCCTCCTGATGCTGCCTGGCTTGCTGTGTTCTTCCAGCCTCCTGTTTATCCACCCTTATCTCCACCCACTCTTTCCTGCCCATGAGCCAATTCTCTATCCATGCCAATATATTACGTCCAACACCATGGGCTCACAGCTTATGACTTTACCTTTTGTGAGGTACTTTGACGAACACCTTCTGGAAGATCAAATAAAACACATCTACTGGTTCCCCTCTATACACTCTGGTTGAGACTTGCTCAAAAAAACTCTAGTAAATTAGTCTGACGTGATTTCCCCTTCATGAAGCCATGCTGACTCTGCTTGATCGGATTATGAGTTGCCACATGTGCTGCTATTACTTCCTCAATAGTTAATTCAAATACTTTTCCAACAATAGATGTTAGGCTAATCGGCCTATAGTTACCCACTTTTTGCCTCCCTCCTTTTTTGAATAGTTTCCAATCCTTTAGTACTTCTCCAGATATCTGACGATTTTCAAAAAAGCATAGCAATGCATCCATTATATCTGTAGCTACTTCTTTTACGAACCCCAGATTCAAGCTGCTAGGGCCAGGGGACCTATCTACATTTAGTTCCAACAGTTTGTCTCATACTATTTCTCTAGTGTTGATGATGGTACTTAATCCTTGCCCGTACTCTTTAGTATTAATGGGATGTTAGAAGTACCATTCCCTTCAGTTGTGTGCTATGAATGTTACTTGCCACTTGTCAGCGTAAACCTGGATATTGTCCAGGTCTTGCTGCATTTAGACATGGACTGCTTCAGTACCTAAGGGGTTGTGAAAGGGGATGAACTTTGGGCCATCACTTTAGTTCATCAATTTCAAAGTCGTTGATTCTAGCACTGATGCAGGACTGGAGTGAAAATGTTCAATTAATCTGTCTTTAAAAAGGAACACTATAACCTGAAGTTCACTGAGAGAAATCTGGAAGTTTCACTCTGTCACACTATCAATCTCACAACTGGAATTTCCTGTTTATAAGCTGTCAGTTCGTACTGCAAGTGAGAGAAAAATGAAGGATTCCAGGAATGAATATCACAGTGAAATATATCTCCATTTACACTGATTACTTGTCCAGATGATGCTTTTATTCCAGCGAACATTCCCCCTTTCTGAAGTAAGTTTTGTTTACATCTGAATACTGATCCCAATGGGAACCATCGAAGTGAACTCATCTGCTCATCACTGAGCTTCAGCCAATTTAACATGGAGTCAATGTCACAAAGACAATTAGTTATTCTTGTGATGGTTAATCTGACAGGACCAACTGCAAACAATCTTCAGAATTAACTCTGTACAAACTCACAGTAGCTATGAAGTATTCACAGTATCAATGAGATCTTGAACCACAGCCCAATTTGCTCTGTCAACTGGAGGTGGAAAATCTCATAGTCACTGAGATAATGGCAGAGTTCCCTTACTACCTCATTGAAATTTATTTCTTCACCAAAGTCACTGTGCCACACAGGTCATTATCATGTTGCTGTTTGGGATCCTGCTGCATCCAGATTGACTGCCATGTTTCTGAAATTAAAGCAATGGCTACACTTTAAAGTGCATTTCATTGGCTGTGAAGGGCTTTGGGACATCTGGGGTTGTGATGGGCACCACGGAAATGAAGGTTCCTCCAAAACTCTCTTGCTGATGGCTGATCAATAGAGAAATGACCAGGGTTTGTACAGATGATTCAGATGTTCTAATGGCTCATGGTACATCCATCACAGCAAACTGTTCACTCCATATTACTGAGGACAGATGTCCCTGAGCAGCACAAAACCCTGGCAGCATCAACATAGGAAGGGAGAGCAATGTTTATATCACATTGGTAATCTGGTACGTCAAATGGTCATTGACTCCATTTCCTTGTTCCCTTAAGAAACACTCCTAAAGCTCAGTAAAACAGAAGAGCACATGGGGTAGGGGCAGCATAATGATGTGGATGCAAGATTGGGTGGCAGACAGGAAACAGAGCATAGAGATAAATGGGCCATTTTCTGCCTGGCAAATTGTAACTGGTGGAGTGTCACAGAGATCAGTGCTAAGGCCTTAATTACTTAAATCTAAGTGAATGATTGGGATGAAGCGACCAGATGTATGGTTGGCAAGTTCACCAATGGCACAAAGCCAGGTAGAAAATTAAGTTGTCAAGAGGAGGTAGAGAGTCTGAAGAGGGATATAGATGTGTTAAATAATCAGACCAAAAAATTGTTAGGTGGAGTATATTGTGGGTGAAGTGAACTTGTCCACTTTGGCAGGAAGAATAGAAAGTCAGGTTACTGTTTAACTGGAGAGAGGATGCAGAACTCTGTCCTTTAGAAAAACCTGGATGTCCTTCTGGATGATTCACAAAATTAGTATGCAGGTGCAGCAAGTGATTAAGAAGCAAATTATTAGCATCTGTTGCAAGGGGAATGGAATAAAAACATGGAAACATCTTACTGCAGCTGGACAGGATGCTGGTGAGACTACCTTTAGAGTATTTTCATAAAGTCAAAATGCACTGAAGATAGAGATTTAAAATAAAACCAGAGATTGCTAGAGAAACTCAGCAAGTCTGACAGTATCTGTGAAGAGAGAAACAAAGTTAATGCTTTGAGTCCAGTGTGACTCTTCTTCAGAACACAAAGCTCTGCAGAAGTCATATTGGACTTGAAACATTAACTCTGCTTCTCTCTCTATCTGTTTTTTCTTCCGTTGTGCTATGAATAATTTCAGTCTCCTATTTGAAAAAGGGTAAATTTGCATTAGAAACTGTTCAGAGAAGGTTCATTTGACTTATTCCTATTGAGAAGTGGCTGAACAAGTTGAGCCTGACCCTACTGGAGAAGAAGAGGTGATTTAATTGAAAAATATAATGATCCTGCAGGTGGATGCTGGCGATGTTTTTCTTGTGCGACAGACAAAAACTAAAGGACACTGTTAAAGAATAAAAGGTCACATTTTAAGATGGAGATGTTAAGGAGATTGTTAACCCATGTAATTGTCTTTCCCAGAAAGCGATGTTGTGCTGCACCACTTCAGAGGGCAGTTAAGAGTCACCCACATTGCTCTGGGTCTGGAGTCACATGTAGGCCAGACCAGGTAAGGATGGCTGATTTCCCTCCCTCAGGGATATTAATGAACACAATGGCTTTTTACAGCAATTGATGTTAGTTTTCATGGTCGCTATCACTGAGATTAGTTTTCAATTCCAGATGTACTAATTGAATTTAAATCGCGCCAACTATACTACATCAGGACTCTCGGTACCTAACCACCTTACCATGCTGCACTGTGAAGGAGGAGGGCCATGGGAAGGAGGGGTGGCACGGTGGCTCAGAGGTTAGCACTGCTGCCTTACAGCGCAAGAGACCTGGGTTCAATTCCAGTTTTGGGTGACTGTCTGTGTGGAGTTTGCACATTCTCCCTGTGTCTGTGTGGGTTTGCTCTGGTTTCCTCCCACCATCCAATGATGTGCAAGTTATGTGCTTTGGCCATGGTAAATTGCCTATAGTGTCCAAGGATGTGCAGGCAAGGTGGATAAACCATGGGAAATGCAGGATTATGGGAATATGGAGGGGGTTGGGTTTGAGTGGAATGCTCTTTAGAGGGTCAGTAAGGGCTCGATGGGTTGAATGGCCTACCTCTGCTCTGTAGGGATTCCATGTCTGACCAAACTGGGGAAGCTGTGAGGGGATAATAGTAGGGAAGAGGAAAATTGAGTTCCGTCATCAATGAGGTTGGAAGGGAGGTAGAATAGAGTTGTCCCTCTGGGAGGTGGGTAGAGAGTTTGAGAATGTGGCAGGACTAGCGATGGCATCAGGGTGTATGACAATGGGGCGTGTAAAAATGAGTAATTAGTGGGGAAGATGTTGGAGTCAAACATCTGAAGGGAAGAAGCTCCCTAATTTGGGGTACATTGCCTGAAATTCTCCATGCCATTGCCTGCAGCCCTACATACATCTGTTCACAGTATCCACCTGGGATCAAGGACTCTGCCCCCAGAAGTTCCTATGGAGGAGATAGAGCTCCATCTATGGACAGAGGCATTGGGAGAGTGTGGCCAAAGACAGTGTATTTCCTGAGGTCATCAATTCCTATCTTCCCAGCAGGATATTGTGGGAGCTGGAACACGGACTGGGAAAAAGGCCTAGTGATTTCCTGTGCTGTCAACTTTGGGGTTCAGTCTATCTGACCTTTAAAGAGAACATTGTTTAGAGTAGTCCCCTCCCTTGAACTTAGTTTTAGAAGATTGCTGAAGGAGACAAACTGCCCCAGAGCAGATCTAGAGATGCCCCTGAGTGAGAAAGCGAGGGACTGGATAATCCCATTACAATGCGACGAGGGATTACAGGGTCCCAGTGCATATAATTGTCACTTACCTACCCAATTTGACCAAGTGCAGGAGACTTGCATGAAGTCATAATGCTGTGTTAACAAGCCTGCACAGACATGATGGGAGATTTCGCCTCCTTTCGCATTGTAACACTTCAGTGGTTCTACAAGTTGCACACTTGGCAACTTTCTGAACTCTGGTTTTGGAAGGTATTTGTGTTGTGAAGTGAGCTTTGTCTGATTCTGTGCCAGTCAACAGACAGTTGGAAAGAAAAAATAAACGAAAGTACTGCGGATGCTATCAATCAGAAACAAAAATAGAAATTGCTGGAAAATCTCGGCAGATCTGGCAGCATCTGTGGAGAGAAACCAAGGTAGGACTTATACAGTAAATGATAAGGTCCTGAGGAGTGTTGTGGAACAGAGACGATTTAGAGGTGCTGGAGTCTGACTGGGGTGGACAAGGTCAGAAATCATATGACACCAGGTTATAGTCCAACAGGTTTATTTGAAAACACAAGCTTTCAGAGTCTTACTCCTTCTTCAGGTGTTAGTGAGAGAGGTTGTATCCGACACGGAATTTATTAGTAAAAGATCAAAGGGTCACACCACTGATCAGGATGTATTAAACAAAACTAAGATGCTGTTAAATCTTTAATCAGTTAGAAGGTTTTAGTTGATTAAAATGTATACGTTAATCCCCAAATTCCTTTCAAGTCACTGCCCTGAGAGAACTAAAGGTTTTAAAAGTGTAAAGAAGAGGTGACATTTTAGGTCAGACAATGCATGTTAGATGTGAGGCCTTGTTTAGAATCAGTTTGTATTCTGGTTTGGAGTCAGACTGGTTTTATTTCTGAAGTAGGAATTTATAAAACACTACATTGACTGACTGTCTATAAATTGTGTGCTTTTATAAGTTCATAAGAGATAGAAGCAGGAGTAGGCCATTAGGCCCATCGAGCCTGCTCATCCATTCTATAAGAACATGGCTGATCTATCTGTGGTCTCAGCTCCTCCCCACCTGTATTATCCCCAAAACCCTTAATCCCCCTACTATGCAAAAATCTATCCAACTGCATCTTAAATATATTGAATGAAGCTGCCTCTACTGCTTCCTTGGGCAGAGAATTCCATAGATTCACCACTTTCTAGGAAAAGCAGTTCCTCCTCATCTCTGTCCTGAATTTACTCCCCCTAATCTTGAGGCTATGTCCCCTAGTCCTAGCCTGTCCCACCAGTGCAAACAACTTGCCTGCCTTTATCTTATTTATCCCTTTCATAATGTTATACGTTTCTATAAGATCCCCTCTCATTCTTCTAAATTCTAGTGAGTACAGTCCCAGGCGGCTCAACCTCTCCTCATAGTGTTAACCCCTTCATCTCTGCAATCAGCTTGGTGAACCTCTTCCACACCAGCTCCAAATCCAGTATATCCTTCCTCAAGTACGGAGACCAGAACTGCGCACAATATTCCAGGTGCAGCCTCACCAACACCTTGTACAATTGCAGCAAAACCTCCCTGCTTTTAAATACAATCCCTCTCGCAATGAAAGCCAACATTCTGTTTGTCTGAGATAACAAGTTGTAGAGCTGGATGAACACAGCAGGCCAAGCAGCATCAGAGGAGCAGGAAGGCTGAAGTTTCAGGCCTAGACCCTTCTTCAGAAATGGTGAAGGGGAAGGGGATTCTGAAATAAATAGGGAGAGAGGAGGAGGAGGGTAGAAGATGGATAAAGGAGAAGATAGATGGAGAGGAGAGAGTCAGGTGAAAGAGTTTGTCTTGCTTGTCTTGCTCATTACCTGCTGCACCTGTAAGCCAACTTTTGACGATTCATGTACGAGAACTCCTAAGTCCCTCTGCACAGCAGCATGCTGCAATCTTTCACCATTTAATGATAATCTAATCGACTATTTTTACTTTAAAAGTAGATGACCTCACATTTACCGACATTGTATTCCATCTGCCAGACACTTGCCCAAACACTTAACCCATCTACATCTCTCTGCAGACTCCCCATATCCTGTGCACCATTTGTTCTTCCACTCAATTTAGTGTCATCAGCAAACTTAGACACGTTACCCTCAGTCTCCCCTTCCAAATCATTTATATACATCATTAACAGTTGCAGGCCCAACACTGACCCCTATGGCACTCCGCTCACCACTGATCTCCAACCAGAGAAACACCCATTTATCCCAACTCTCTGCCTTCTATTGGTTAACCAGTCCTCTATCCATGCTAATACATTCCCCACATTTCCATGCAATCTTATCTTATGGATGAGTTTTTTATGTGGTACCTTGTCGAATGCCTTCTGGTAATCCAAGTGCACAACATTGTCCTGTTCCCCTCTATCCACCGCGATTGTTATATCCAAAAAAAGAATTCCAGTAAGTTTGTCAAACGCGACCTTCCTTTCCTGAATCCATGCTGCGTCTGCCTGATGGAACCCTTTCTATCCAGATGTCTCGCAATTTCTTAATGATAGCCTCAAGGATTTTGCTGACTACAGATGTTAAGCTCACTGGCCTGTAGTTACCTGCCTTTTGCCTACATCCTTTTTTTAAACAACAGCGTGACATTCGCTGTCTTCCAGTCCACTGGGGCCTGCCCAGAGCCCAGTGAAGTTTGGTAAATTAACACTAACGCATCTACTATAACTTCCTCCATTTCTTTCAGCTCCCTTTTTTTAATTCATACACGGGATGAGGGCATCACTGGCCTGGCAGCATTTATTGCCCATCCCTAGTTGTCCAGAGGGCAGTTCAGAGTCAACCACGTTGCTGTGGGTCTGGAGTCACATGCAGGCCAGACCAGGTAAGGATGGCAGTTTCCTTCCCTAAAGGACATTAGTGAACTAGATGGGTTTTCCTGACAATCGACAATAGATTCATGGTCATCATTAGATTCTTAATTCCAGATATTTTTATTGAATTCAAACTCCACCACCTGCCGTGGTGGGATTCGAACCCAGGTCCCCAGAATGTAATCCGAGTCTCTGGATTAACAGTCCAGCGATCATACATCTAGGCCATTGCCTCCCCTGGGTTGCATACCATCAGGACCAGGGGACTTGAATACCTTTAGACCCTCTAGTATGCTCAGCACTACCCCTTTAGTGATAACAATTGAATCGAGGTCCTCACCTCCCATTGTATCCTTAACATCATTCTTTGTCAGGTTAGACACATCTTCCGGTGTGAAGACTGACACAAAATAGTCATTCAAGGCCTTTGCCATTTCAGCATTACCCAATATTAATTCCCCTTTCTCATCCTCCAAGGGACCTACGTCCACTTTAGCCACCCTTTTCCATTTTATATATTTATAAAAACGTTTCCTATCTGTTTTTATATTCTGTGCTAGTTTGCATTCATAATCTATCTTTCCTTTCTTTATTGCTTGCTTCATGGTTCTTTGTTGCTTTTTAAAGTTTTCCCAATCTTCCTGTTTCCCACTACTCTTGGCGTCTTTAAAAGCCTGAGCTTTTAATTGGATGCCTTCCTTTATTTCCTGAGTTACCCAAGGCTGGCTCTTCCTACCCTTACTATCCTTCTTTTTGACCGGAATATACTTTTTTTGAGCACTGTGAAAAATCTCTTTAAAAGTCTTCCACTGTTCCTCATCTGTTCCACCATACAACTTGTGTTCCCAATAAAAACTGAAAGAACTGTGGATGCTGTAAATCAGGAACAAAAACAAAGTTGCTGGAAAAGCCCAGCAGGTCTGGCAGCATCTGTGAAGCAGAAAACAGAGTTAACGTTTT